TAATATATAATATTACCTCAAGGAGAAAGATATCCCTATTTGACAATCCAAGCCTTCATTATTACCACTGGCATTTTGCAAACGGGTCCTTTTATTAAACCCGAGCCTACGAGATGACATCCATCAAAGTCGAATAATTGACAAGAGGAGGCAACTTCAAGAAGCCAACACTCCTCATTATCTCCCCTTTCCTCGGCCTCGCTCTTTCCAAGGGGCTGGACCCAGCTAGAGATCAGAGCACTTTGGAAGAGTCTCCAGATGCAATTAATCCTACAGGGGGAGTTAAGCCCAGTTCCCCATCGTTCCTTGGACAAGTAGTTTTGTTACGGGGTATGCAGGCGAGACAAATTTGCCGAAATCGAAAGGGTAGATCTATGTGCTGTGTCGGTGTCTTTGTTGTAACTATTAAGGCCTTTACCGTTGCACGTAGAAGACTTGAGTTCGCTTCATGTGTAGGGAGAAGTTTTAACGAATAACATAGTCAGATTTGGTGTTGGGGGTGGGGCGGGGGGTAGGGTAGGGGAACGTTGTATCCCTCTCGGCCCAGGCTAGCCCTGGTACTTAGGATCGAAGCCCGCCTCCTAAATGATCTAAACTGTTACGACTGGGGTGGTTTTCTGTTATTATGATCAGGGTCGGAATCCGCCTCTCTGTCTTTTTTTTGGGAGGGGGGGATGGAATGGGGGGGGTTTAAACACCTACATTTTAAAAAATGCATTGTGTGCTCTTCAAGTTAAAAGTTTCATCGTATCAGGTCTGTCCTAATTCATCTAGAAACAGATACACGACATTACACGATTTTCGATTTCGACAGGTCGCATGATGCGCAAACCCTACAGCGCCGTTCACTAGCAGGACCATGAAGCCTTTATTAACCCCAACACTCGCCGGTCCGATTACAGCATAGTCAGCACACATCTCAGTTTCCTGGCTGGACAACAATGGACAAAGGCAGTGGTGGTGATGATGATGATGATGATGATGATGATGATGATGATGATGATGATGATGATGATGATGATGATGATGATGATGATGATGACTTTGGTTTTTACAGCTTGTGTAGATCTAATCATTTATATTTTGAATATTCCTGATGAAGCCCGCTGAGGGATGATGATGATGGATGTCCCA